TTTTTTTTTTTTTTTTTTTTTTTTTTTTGCCTTCCAACCTTGTTCTAGGGGCTGTGAGACATAAAAGACATCAACTGCCCTAAAAGAGGAACTTGTAATCTGTGGAAGGTAAGACAAGTAAGTTGGCATGGGAGACTGATAAATGCTACAGTACAGAAACTCTGTCATAATAACACCCAACATTTGGAGTACTGTTTATGCCTGATGCCACCGTATGCATTTCCAATACATTTACAAAAACTGGTGGTTAAGGCCAAGTGCCTGAAAGCTAGCTGCTTTCTCTAGAGAAAGCAGCACATAGATTTAGATTTCAGCTTTACCATATGTTAGTTACATTGCCTTGAGAAGTTTCTAACCTTTCTGTGGCTAACTCTTCTCATTTGTAAAAAGGAGATAATAATTTTCTCACTAGAATTTTATAGGCCAGTGAGATACTGTCATAGGTGCTTAGGACAGTACCCATAGCAGTGAGTCAATAATACCGTATTGTCCTGTTATTAATCACTTCAGGCATTCTCAAATGAGCTCATATTAATATTTTCTCCATTTCCAAATGGGAGATTAAAGACATACAGAAGCTGAGTAATTTGATGTCACAGAGGCTTCAAGTGATAGCGATTTCTTTCTGATGTCCAGACTTTTAACCAGTGACATAGACTGCTTCTATGTAAAAATAGAGGGCAGAGGAGAGAGAAGTATGATAGAGTCAAGTCAGAGGAAGTAGCACACACAGGAAGCATTGCCATTTCAGAGAAGAAATATGAATGAGGTTTCAAGGGATGAATGAACTTGGCGAATTCCACAAAGTGAAACAAGAGACTGATAGGTATGTTGACTTGTAGCTTATGAAATCTGATGAAGTTAACTATATAACTGAAAATACAAATTAGTAGCATATGTAAAAGAGATTGGATGGAAAAAAAAACAAACGCTTAAATGTGTGAGTAGTTGAAATCTTTGTAAGTTAATGAGATCATCAAGGGAGCCTATATAAGTGGATAAAATGGATGTTGGAAACCTGAAAAAAATAAACTTTTGCAGAAAATTTTAAAAGAAGGATATAAATTAATATGAGAAAGAAAAGTCACACTAAAAATGGGAGTCCAAAAAAAATTACTGAAATAAAAGTCAAAACCAGAACTTCCTCTGAAAACCAGTTGGAAATCACATCTATGGAGAAGAGAGTTATGGAAATAGGAAAAAGTCGTCACCAGGGGTAAGGAGCTTTGTGAAGTACTATTGCTGACTGCGAAATTACCAATCAGCGTAATTCAAGTGTTAAAGGAGGAGAAATGTGTTGAGTGGATTTGATTACTCCTGTCATAAGTTGTCTGACAAATACTGTTAAAATCTGCTGGTACTATTTTAAGTCCCTTTTTTTTTTTTCAAATGAATAACAAGAGGGTGAATACAGTCCTTTAGTTTAATGGTTCTCTTGTAGAGTTTGAACTTCAGGGTTTGCACATTAGAAACTGGTCTTCTGCTCTGAGGTACTATGTCTCCATCCCTGTAACAGATCTTGTGAAAATTGCTTATTTAATTATGGATCATGGGTTACCTCACTGGGTTTGTCCAGAAGTACACATCTAAGAAAATTCTGAAATAAAGTTAGAGTAAACTAATTTGTATTTTCAGTTATATAGTTAACTTCATCAGATTAATAAGCACACATATTTAATAAGATTACATTACCAATATTGCTGGAATTTTAATATAAAACTACAGTGTACAGTTTTATTTACTAAAATATACTTTGGTATAGATATATGTTAGTTATTGTTTGCCTTTGATGCTAAGCATCTTTACTTCCTTTAACTGTAATCAAATTTCTTCTGTTGAATGAGAGTTTTTAGAAAACATGAGTCATTTAACTTTTTAACTACATAAAAGAAGAATTTACTCTTCTCTTCATATCTACCTCTATTGTCATAATTTTATTTTCTGTCATAGTTTATGCACAATCATTATACTTATGTTAATAATGCAAGCAATTTTTTTTCTATGAAGATGATAATTTTTTTCTCACACGGTTATGTTTTCTTCTCCAAGTCCAGCAAAATGACCAAAGTCAGACTCTCAATAATTTCTTTGTAGGCTCTAAACCTAGAAAGAAGAAGAATAATAGTCCAAATTTTTTGAGAAATTCAGTGTTGATCTTATCAGTATGCAAACATAGACACAAAACAAAATAACTTTTCCTAGGATGCATTACATTAATCCTCCTAAAAACAACAAAAATTGTGTAAGTTCTGAGAAACAGAGAAGTATGAGTTAGGCCAAATTAGAATACTTTCTTATAGACAAAGTACAAATGAATTAAGACTCAAGAAAATTCGATAGAGAAAAGAGAAAGGGCCTTTCAGGGAGACAATTGGCACTATTTTTTTTTAATTTAATTTATTGGTACATTCTAGGTAGACAGTACAGTTACATTATTGGGATCTTGTACCTTTACATGCCAGGTCTTGGTTCTCATTCTTTTCAATGACAGTGTTGGAAATTCCAAGGTAGGAACAATTGGTGAGAATGGGGTTTTAAAGACTCTCTAGTTTAGAAAGTTGCTGGCCTACACAGTTGTTACACATCTTCATTTGATTGATGGTATGGTAGCAGAGTTGGTACATTTTTGCTTCAAAAGTTACAGTTTAGGATCCCACAACTAAAAGGGGGGAAAAAAAGCACATTACTGATTGCTTGTAACGGAAAGACTACCATAAGCACTAGAGCTATAATCTTACAAGGGAACCACTAAATTAAATTTAAAAGGCTACCGTTAATGCTGCTGGGAATGACAAGTCTTTGATAGGATTATGTTTCAATCATACCAGTTTAAGCTGTTTCTAACTTTTAAAATTGAATCTGATTATCATAAAAAATGAAAACAAAAGCAGAAACAAGCAAAAGTTGCACTGAGGAAAACCTGTACTCGATCAAGGGTTGAATTCCAAAGCTTCAGAGTAGCATCCTCAGGAATTTGGTATTATTTTTCCATGGGCAACAAGAAGTCAAAAGTGATACACTAGCGTTCCTAAGTATCCAGTAGCCTGGAAACCATGAGTGCAGGAAAATGCACAAGGACACCATAGAATCTAACTTTAATTCTAGAATTCTAGGGAAAAATCTCAGCGGGGAGGGGAGGGGAGAGAGAGAGAGAGAGAGAGAGAGAGAGAGAGAGAGAGAGGGAGAGAGACTTGTTTCTGTTTCTTTTAAAACTAAAGGACATTTCAGTAGCCATTTACATTATCTTATATAGTTCAAGCAGACCACAACTCTGTCTATAAGAATTAGCAAACAGGAAATATACGTACCTAACCTAAAATATATAGTTTTTGATATGACATTATATATTGGAATGAAACCATTAAAAATATCATTGATCATGAGTATGTCATGAATATTTTGTTTATCTAAAAAGGGAAGAAGGGTATAGCAATTTGTCTTCACTTCCTGAAGCCAAATTTATGAGACAAATATGTGCTTTTTTTATTCTCCAACCTCAATATATGTATATATTTTATATATTCAGTGTATATAAAAAGAAGGATAATTTGCCTTTCATAATTGTAGTAATTTATAAAAATGCATACCCATTATATAAGCATACCTTAAAAGATTATAAGGCAATACTAAAAAGGAAAAACCCAACAAAAAATAATTTCCAAAATATACTATATTTCTAGCTAGTAAACTTTAGTTTGAAAACTGGTAACTCATGGTTCAAACTGCACACCATAAAACTCTTAACGAAATTTACTTCAGGAGATTAAGATCTGAAAGTTTATTTCTTGACCATTGAAAAAACTCTTTCGCACATAATTAAATACAGCCATCTTAAATATTCAAGTAGAATTTTCTTCTTTTCAAGACACCTACGTCCCCTAACCCCAGTTCCCAATGCTATATATGCATATGCATTTATATATTTAGCATATGCTCTGTGTTTATGTGGGGGGGTGTAGCTGTATATGTGATATCTACATTTCGAGATAATGATGTTATAGTTGGATAGAGGCTAATGTCATTTTAAAGATAAAAGCATTTTCTCAGTAATAGCAAATATTTAAGCATGAAGCATCCTAAGAATCACAAAATAATTTAAAAATTCTAAACTTAAATATACAATGGAATTATATAGAAAAATTTACTACCATATGTGAAATGTACCAGTCTGTGATACTAAGGTTAATCACAAATAAAAATAAATACTTAATATAAAATGCAATGGAAGAAATAGAGAGAAATTTCACTAGTCCAAAAAGTAGTTTTAGAATTTCTATTTGATAAAATATACAAAAGTGATCGAAAGGGCCAGGGATTTAGCTCAATGGTTCGAACACTTGCCTTGCAAGCGCAAGGATCAGAGTTCGATTCCCGGTACAAAAAAAAAGTGAAAGAAAATGGAATAAAAACAAAAATCTAATCATATTTCTATTTGGAGAAAGGAGACTGCTTCATTCACTTTCTCATTCCTGAGACACAGTATTTCACATCAGCAACTTAAAGGAGAGGATGATTTTGACTCTCAGGCTCAGAAATTTTAGTCCATGGTCCAGTGATTCCAAGACAGGAGACCATGGTAGAACAGTTGGGCAAGGGAAAGCTGTTCACATCATAGTGGCCAGAAAGCAGAGAGAGAAAGGAGACAGGAAGGGACATTTTTTCAGTGACCTGCCTTTTCTGAACAGTCCCTACCTCTAAGCAGCACATTTAGGTATGGTCATATTATCCACTTATCAGCCTAGCACCTTCATGATTCAATCACTTCTAAAAGCCCCACTCAGAACACATGAGGCATGAAGGGGCATTATAGCTCTAAATCATAACATTTTTCCCTTGGCTTCCAGAAGATCCATCTCTTTATGCAAATTCTACTTAGCTCATCTCTAAAGATTGCCTAAGTTTTAACAGTTCCAGCACTGCTGAAAATTACAAGCCAGAAGTCTCCTCTGAAACACAATGCAAACATTTAGCAGTGAATCCCTATAAAACTCACAAAGAAAGTTAAACACTGCTTATATACAATAGCACAGGGTAAACATTTCTTTTTCCAAAGTAAAGAAATAGGGCAATAGAAAAGAATCAAATCTAGGGAGAAAGGGACCCTTCTCCTTGTTGGTGGGAGTGCAGACTGGTGCAACCACTCTGGAAATCAATATGGAGAAACCTCAAAGAACTGGGATTAGAGGTTCCATTTGACCCAGTTATCCCTCTACTGGGTATCTTTCCAAAAGAATTAAAAGAATCATATCACAGTGATATATGTGCACCTATATTTATAGCGGCACAGTTTGTAATAGCTAACACTTGGAAACAGCCCATTTGCCCATCAGTTGGAGACTGGATAAAGAAGATGTAGTTTTTCTATAAAATGGAATACTATTCAGCCATAAAGAATGAGAAATTAGATTCATTCATAGGAAAATGGATACATATTGAGGATATACTCCTAAGTGAAATAAATAAGTCACACATGTGTAATGCCAAATAGTTTCTCTGGTATGAAAAACTATAATAGTACATAAGATCCTAATGATGTAATTGACAATGTGAAATAGGAAGAAAGGGGCTAAAGGTGTAGGGAGAGTGGGAAGGGTAGGGGAAAGGTAATAAGAGAAAAGAAAAAAGTATGAGAAAATGAAAAAATGGGAATAAAGTGTTTGTAAATGGGAGGGAAGGAGGGGGTGAAGGGAGGGCAGGGACAAGGGGAAAAAAATGAGAACCAAGACTTGTCATGTAAAGGTATAAGATCTGAGTGATGAATGTAACTGTACTTTATACCTAAAATGTACCAATAAACTCAATGAGAGAGAAAAATAAAAGAAAAGAATCTAATCAAAGCAGGACAGAAACACAGCAGGATAAACATTAAATCTTGTACTTCCATGTCCAATACCCAGGCCAAGTTGTAGCAAGTTGTGGACTGTAATACATTCCTATAGCATTGCTGGTTGTAGTCGTTATGATCTTCTTCTTGGGGTGGCTCTGCTTTGACTGCATTTTTCCTTATCATATGTTGCATATTCCTGGCATTTCCAAATTCTTAGGGTTTCCAAGATATTTTCAACTTTACTGTTGCCACTTGATGAAGTGTCTTCTTAGAGGCATACTGTTGGGTCTCTGAAGCTTTCTTCTGAAATCAGGAGGGAATCTTTCCTGAGCCTATAACTCTTGCATTCTGCATCCTTGTAAAAACAGAAGCATGTGTATGGAAACATGGCCTGTTGCCAGCTTGAGCAGTAACCAAGCTACATTGGATCAGGGCTGCAGAGGCCTTTGAGCGCTAGGATGGCTGAGCAATAGGAAATGAATCCTAACGGAGCAATCCTCAAGATGGCCTTCATCAAGCAAGGTGCTCGGCAGTTCTTTTCTAAAATGAAAGCTTTCTAATTTTCATCCCTGAGGCTGTGAAGGACAGGGTCTTGATGATTCCTGAAAAGCCCTCAAAGCATCTTTCTTATTGTCCTGATAAAAAGTAGTTGGCAAATTAAATTAATCTTGTCAGCAATCAAGCTCGACCCCAGCTTTATAAAGCTGAAGAGGTGGTTCCTTTCTGGCTACCCGCAAAATGTTTTCAGATTATTTAACTCTGCTTTTTGGTCATAATTCTCAGATAAATTTGGCTGAAAATAATGAACAGTACATGCTGCATCCTGAATTTGGACTGAGTTGAAATTTTTGCCACCAGATTAATTAGTATTCTGTCCTTAATCTCAGTCTCCTTCAAAGTCTCAGTACATACAAAATGTAGACAATTTTTCTGCCACAGCATAATACATATGTTCTAGAGCCCAGTTGACCGTGAAGTTCTTGTTCCCAATGGAAACCTCCTGAGCCTGGCCTTTACTCTGTATTTTTATCAGGATTCTGGATTTCTGAGCTCTGATCAAAATCTTCCATGAATCTTAGCTTTTGATTCTATGACTTCTCCAGCTGGCATTGCCAGACCTTTCCCAACTCCTCCCATGAACATGTTCCAAAGGCTCCTCAATCTCATGGTTAGATATACTCTAAGCGATTCCCCACTCCAGTGACCCAAATCTGTCTTAGTTACTTTCTCATCACCAAAACACAATACATTACACTCACAACTTAAAGAGGAGGTTTATTTTGTCTCAGAGTTTTAGAAGTTTCAAACAATAATCAGCTGGCTCCAAGGAAGAAAGGGCATTATTAGAGAATCTGATAGAAGAAAGCTTCTCATATCACAGAGAGCATGAATTAGAGAAACAGAGAAGGGAAGAGCAGAAGGGAGATACATCCTTCCAGGTCACACCTCCAGTGACCTGCCTCTTCTGACCATCCCCTAACATGTAACCACACATTTATCCACTGATGAATATATCACCCTCATGATTCAGACACCTTCCAAAGGCCTCATCATTGAACACATGAAGACTTTGAGGGATATTCTAGGTCTAAAGCATAACAAAAGCCATTACAAAATGTAGATACCTAGCTATTGCTACCATTTTTTCATGGTTTTATGTGTGTTGTCTAAAGACATTTTATTTTTATTCATATGCATTAATGAGAAATATTAATTGAATTCAGTATATTTAAACACCTGCACACAAAATGTGCTTGTACAATCCAATCTCCATTTATATTTGCCCTTCCCAATGTCTAGGAATCACTATTCTATACTCATATCCACATTCTTTTCCTATCCACATTAGGGAGGGAAGATGCAATATTTTTCTTTTTGTGTGTGGCTTATCTCACTTGAAATAACGGCCTGTCCATTTTGATGCAAGTAATAGGATTTTAAAGTACTTTTCTGGGTTCAGTACTCAACAATGAAAAAAGAAAGGATTGAGAGAGAGAGAGAGAGAGAGAGGCAGACAGAGCAAGCGAGAGAAGAAATGTAAAAAGAAAGGAGAAAGATAGAGAAACCATTTGAAAACTCCCATTCAAAAGAACTACAAAAATTGAGATACATAGAAGTAAATTTACCCAAGGAAATGAGAGGGTTCTTCAATGAAAATTACAAAACACCAGTGATAGAAATAAAAGACACAAAAATGAAAAGATCTCTCATGTTCATGGGTTAGGAGAATATTTTTTAAAATTCTATATAACCTAAAGTAATCTAAAGATTGAATGCAATTCCCATATGACATTGCATCTACCTATGATAGTCTGCAAAGTACTAGACAAAAATCTTAAAATTCATGTGACATAAAAATAACCTCTAATGAGCAAAACAATTTTGAACAAAAACAATAGAATGCGAGACATCAAAATACCCAATTTCAAGATATACTGCAGAGCTAAAGTAATTAAAAACAGCCTGATACTGGCCTATAAATAGAATCACAGACTGATTGAAAGAATAGACATTCCAGAAATAAATTCTTGCATCTATGCCAACTGATTCTCTGCAGAAGTGCTCAAAAACCTGCAGTAAAGAAAGGAGCTCTGTTCAATATAGGTACTTAGAAAACTACATATACATATGCAAAAGACTGACATCTGACACTATCTCAGCCTCAACAAGAATCAGTTCAAAAATAGGTCAAAATCTAAAAAAGTTCTTGTATTATATATAAATCCCTCTCCACAGCATATTTATATGAATATGCTCTGAAATTTTTGCCCCTCTATTTTTGCTTCTTCTCTTTACTATTTAATTTTTAGAGTAAGTTCTAGATGGGAAAATGTAAATATATAACATTCCTCTGTTTTTTATTGCCACCTATTTATGACAGTTTTTTTTCATTAAGTTTATTGGTACATTTTAGTTTTATAATCCAGTTACATTTATCATTGGGAACTTGTACCTCTACATGATATATCTTGGTCTTGTTTTTTCTCCATTCCCTTGCCCTCCCTTCCATCCCTCTACCACTCTCTATTTACAGAGACTTTGCTTCCATTTTTTTCTTTCCCTCAAATGAATTCTCTTTATATATATATAT